ACTTTCAGTTTACCCATCTATAAAATGGTTTTAGTGACATTTACTTTTGAAAATCACCAGGAAGGGATAGTGTTTGGTGCACAATGAAATTCAATAAATGATGTTTGTAAAGATTTAAAAGCTACTGTTATTCTTAGTCCAGACAGGAGCATCTTGAATCTTGGTCCTCACCCTGAGGGGCACTTTTGTACCTATAACTTTTAAATGTCTGGGGCAGGGGAATCTTTCTTAAAAGCAAATGTTCATGTATAAAAAGCAGATGAAAGTGGAGCTACTTTAGTTGGTGATGATACTTGTTTGTATGCCTCCTGCCATGGGGAGCTTACCTCCTTGTTGGAGCAGCTACTGGCTGTGGGAGGCTTTCTTCCTGGGCCCTTGCCTTTCTCCAAATGGCCCAACATGGTTCCCTTTCACCCTCATTGGGAAAATGCAAAGCAAAGCTGGAGCTGTGCCCAGTTCTGAACCTGACTCCATCACTGCCTGCCTGCGTGACCTTGGGTAGCCATAGCCCTGTGCCTCAGTGTCCTCCTTTTTAAATGGGGTAAGAACAACACCACCACACTCAAGGGTTATGGTGAAGATCAAAAGTGACAGTATGGTTTACGCAAACTTGGCACAAGGCAAACACTCAACAAATCACAGCTCCACCGTCATGTGGGAAGGGCAGGAAGGAGCGGATGGGGTGTGGAGCCCAGGGCTGAGAGAGAAGCTGGGCACTCTCCCACCCCATCCTGTGACACCAGGAACCTGAGTCCTAACACGGCTTTCTGGAGTCATAGGCTGTGGTGGGCTCCAGAGAAACGTGGGAGCAGGTCCTGCCTGGCCTCCTGGCCAGGCACCTCTGCCACCTGGCTCTGTCCCTCCCTCTGGGGGCCCTAGGATGGCTCCTGCAAAGAGCGCAGGTGTTTGTTAGGTGGAGCTGGTGCAGAGCTCAAGCTCTCAGGTTTGGCCGGGCTGCTGTAGTTCTACAAACTTCAGTTTCCCAATCTGTAAAACGGGAGTGGCAGGAGCCACCAGCCTCATGGGATTCCATTCAGGATAAAATGATAAGTAAATTGATGACTTAATAATAAGAATGAGCAACTTCCATGGTGGCAGAACCTCCACTTCACCAGGCCCCTAAACATGGTACCCACTAAACTCGAGCCCCAGACTCTGAGACCTGATGGGGGACATGCAAAGTTTCATTGTAGTTTCTTCTGGAACTAAAGTTCCCAGCAGCCCACCCTCACCCCTTTTGGGACCAAGATCCCTAACTCATGTTTGCTTTCCCCTACACTCCCTCTCTGACTGTGTCATGAATGATGGCCACACTGGGAACGGTGAGGAAATCAACACAGGCCTGGATTGGGTGGAAGTGGAGACTCCCAGAGCTCCCTGGGGCTTGGATATGCCAGAAGGGTGAGCTAAGTAGGGGCTGGGTGTCACCTCCAGGTGCCCAGAGTGCCTTGCCTTCCACATGGGTCTCACGTGGTAACAGACACAGGACAGTGCTAAACTGAAGGGCTAGTGGCAAAGACTTAATTAAATCAAAGCAGGAACCAGCCCCCTTCTCCAGTGACTCCCTCCCTTGGGGACGGGGCAGGTAAGAATCCCAGGAGGCTCTTAGTGGGAGGGAGGCACAGACAGGATCCCCTGGGCCCTCAGAGCCTGTGGTAGAATCTAGGGCAGCTTGTAGAGTACCTGAACCAAGCAGTGGGGATTGGGCTCGCAGACGCTGCCCGTGAGCCTTAAGGAGCAAGAGCCAACTGTGGGTGTGGGCTACACGGTAACTCTGCTTCAGGACACCCTGGGAGCCCTTGCGGTCACTGCCCCCAGCCCCAGCCTCCCTTCAAGCTGGACAGTGAGACAGAGTGTCTCAGAGTGTGCTGAGAACAGGCCCCCACAGGTGCCCACTGGCCTCCACATGGTCGAGGCCTCCACTTTGCAGGGGACCAGCCCTGGCTTCCCAAGCTGGAGATCTGCCTATTTCTGGGGCACCCTTCCCGCTTAATCTCATTAGACCAGTCCAGCCCATTTCTGGGGGCCCACCTGGTCCTGGAAGGTGGGGCTGGCTTCCAGAGGTGGGCCTGACAGTGGCTGGTGATGGCAGATGGGCACACTCACCTAGGAGCAGGTTCATGAGCACCTCCTGGCCAGCCAGGGTGCTGCTCTTCACCAGGCAGAGGAGGGTGCCCCCGATCCAGGGGATACCATGGCCTGTGATGCCAATGAGCTTGACCATGGAGCGGGCGCTGGCCCAGGACGCAGCCCGGCCAGCACACACCCCCAGCCGCTTGGACATGCAGATGTCAATAGCCAGCAGGGAGTTGAAGGCGATGCCCTTGAAGGAGGGGTTCAGCTGCATGCAGTCCTCCTCGGGCAGCTGCTGTGACTGGCGCCTCTCGCGGGCCCCATCGCCAGAGGGTGGGGGCTGCATCGAGGGCCCTGAGGCCTTCCTGCCCGAGCGGGGCTCTGGGGTCCCCTTGGGGGGCTGGTTCAGGGACAGGAACTCGGCCCGGTTGAGGATGTTGTTGCGGTCCCGGGCACGGGCCCGGCTCTGGGAAGCTGGCATGGTGACCTCGCTTACCCTGAGAAGGCCAGTGCCAGCCTGGCTCCAGGGGCCTGCTCCCCCAAGACAAGAGCGGCCCGGAGAGCCGCCACCGTTGCCGGCCTGTCTGCTTCTCCGCAGCAGCTGTTAAATATAGAGTGTTGGATTGCACATGGCTGTTTACCTCCGGCTGCCACCAGGCTCCGAGGGGACGTCAGTGCCAGCTGGACAGCCAATGGAGCCCACCCATGCGGGGGCCAGCGCCAATGGAGCCGCCGGAGAGGCGGAGGAGTCCACAGCTGAGGCCTGGCTGTCTGAGGCCTGGGCTATTTAAATCTGCCAATGGCTCATCCCTGGGCCCTGGAGGACTCTGGGAAATGTAGTCCTGCTGCTCTGGACTCAACTGTGGCTTCAGCCTGTGGCCCAGGCACACAGGTCCTGCGTTAACCCCTGCTTTTACCAGCTGCCCTCTGAGGAGTCCAGACTCCTGGGATCCAAGCCCGCCTGCCCCCCTGTCCTGGGCAGCATGGACCTTGTCCCAGCTACTGGAGGGTGGAGTCCAAGCCAAAGGCCAGCTTGTAGGGTACCAGAACCAAGCAGTGGGGGATGGGCTCACAAATGATGATGGAGTCCATGATGTCACTGAGAGCATGATATGTTGGGTCCCTGGTGTCAGGCCGGCTCTTCCCTCAATGACAGCATTTCATTAGGCTGACAGGCTGAGTTTTCTTTCTTTCTTTTTTAAAAGTCAATCTTGAATTTGGTGTTGTGTATCACGATCCAATCAAATGGCAATCAGAGAAATGTACTTTCCAGTAGAGGGAGGGCGAATGAATTGGCTGGTGACAGACCTGCCTCTCGGAGGTTGCCTCTGATACTCAGAGCTGTGCAAAGGACAGGAGCTTCACATGGCCCATAAATAGTTACCAAGCACCGGTCACCAGGCTAGAAGTTGCCCAGAGTGAAACCAACAATGTCTCTGTCCCCAGGAATTAAACAGGGATTAAACAAAGGACACAGAAATAATGGCAAGTGCACAGTGGTGCTACAGGACCACACAGCTAGGGCTCTGTGCTGTTGGGAGTTGTGGAAGGTTTGCCCCAGTAAGGAAGAGCAGGGGAAAAGCCCAGCCACCACGCAGGAAGGACAGAAGCCCTGTGTGGCTAGTGCAAGGGGGAGGAGGAGAGGAGAGGCTGCACACCCCAGAGGGCAGAACAAGACACCCTGCAGAGGATTTGGGATTTTTTTTTTTTTAATGGTGCTGGGTTTTGAACTCAGGGCCTCACAATTTTTGACCCAGGGTGACCTGGACCTGGCTTCTCCTATTTACATCTCCTGTGTAGCTGGGATAACCGGGGTGTACCACTACACCTAGCTTTTGGTTGAGATGGGGTCTTGAAAACTTTGTGCCTGGGTTTGCCTCTAATCTTAATCCTCACAATCTCTGCCACCAGAGTAGCTGGAATTACAGATGTAATTCCAGAGTAGCTGGAATTAGGATGTTAGGTAGGCCTCCCTGCAGCTCTCTGGATGACCTCTGGGAGCCCAAAGCCCACAGCCCTTTTTTGGGTTGCCTGCACTGGACATGAAAAGGGAAGCTGCTCATTGATGCTGAGAAGAGTCAGAAGTAAGCGCCGTGGTCTCACTAGGCTGGAAGTCATGGCCTACCCACCCCACAGATGAAGTAGGATGCTAAGACTTCTTAAGTAACTCTGGAGCCAGCCCGTGAAACCCCAGATTCACCCCACAGACTACCATATACAGGAAGCTGCCTGGGGTGGGGTGAGAGCCATCTGGCCCCAGGGGACCAGCCCCGTGAGAGTCAGACAGATGGGTTTCCATCACCAACCAGCTATGGGAACTTGAACAAGTCACATCACCATTCCAAACCTTGGTTTCTCCATCTGTAACAAGGGCTAATAGTACCCACTTTATAGGGTTATTGTGGGGCTCAGTTAGACAATGTTTGTAAGATGCCAAGCTAGGTCCCTGCCACACAGTGACCCTTCAGCCCTATGGGCTAGGGACTGACTCTCTTTGACATAGAGAAACTCAATCCTTTCTCCCTTCAGCCCCCAGTTCAGAAGGAGCCATTCTCCCGAGCCAGCCTACTCCTTCCCCAGCTGGGGGTGAGACCAGAGTCTGGGAGCCCTCATTGCAGGGTTCCTTGCAAACCCTGGCTGGCTCCAGCTGGGCCAGACAGGCTAGGCCCTCCCCATTGCTCATCTTCTGCTTCCAGAGTGTTCCATTTAGACTGGCGTGGGAGGAGGGGAAGTCAGGGGAAATGTCCCAGACCTCATCACATCTCCCTGTTTGGTGTGGCAATCATGATGACACGTGGAGCCTCATCCTGGACTCCAGACAGGTGGGCACTCAGGCACGTGAAGACATGCACCTAGTGGATGGATGGATGCTGGGAAGTATGCTAGATTCTGCATGTACCAGCCAACTGGCACCATTTAACCAACATTACTGAGAAGTAGCTGTGAAATCCCATTTTGCAGATGAGGAAGCTGAGGCTCAGTGAGATGAAGGCATCCATCCAGGAAACTTTAAAATGGGGAAACTCCCTCCTGTGTAGTTCCTGGGGTGGGGACACAGGGACATTTGGATTCAGATCCTTCAGGTCACAGGCACTAGAAGTGTCCACTCAGTTCTCCACCAGGGCGATCACCTTACCCTCCCTAGGTAGGGCTGGCAACCTGAGCTGGCCTCAGCAGGGGCCCAGAGTCCAGCCAGCTAGGGATATTAATACCCAGGGACTCTGTCAGCATTTCCCTCTGGCTCAAAAGCCCAGTAAGTCCTGTGGAGGCCATGAAGTACGATTTAACTCCATTCCAGCAGTGTCAAGACCTGGGCTCCAGAGCCTCTCCTGGGCTCTGGAGAGGAACAGCCCCAGGTTCAAACTTTGGCTTACCCACCTCAGCTGACCAGCCATATATAAGTCCTTCCACCCTACCTGGCCTATTTCCCCTCCAAGATTAGTCAGAGGATCATGGGAAGGACTTGCCCAACCTAAAAGGGCTGTGTTGGCTCCTCTGTGACCCTGAGGCCTGCTACTCTACTGTGTCAGCTGGGATGACCCTGGTCACCTTTGCAAGTGACTGAGAGGCAAGTGCTAGTTCTCAATCATAAAACCTAAGAGCACCTACTGGGGGCCACACAGTCCCACTTCCTAACAGCCTTTGGATTTGTTCATTCATTCAGAAAATGCTTTCACTGATCTCTTCCTTTGGTTTAGTTAGGAGAGAGGACACTGCTTATAAAATAATATAATGTTACCGATGATTTTATTTTTTTTACTATAAAATGTTACTACTTACTGCAAAAATTTAATTAATACAAATGATATAGTTATAGCTCTCCAATAACCTGATTTTTTTTTCTTATTATAAAATGTTACTACTTACTGCCAAAAAATTTAATTAATAGATGATCTAATCCCTCCACCTGAAAACCAACACTATTTATGCAAGGGTGACCAGATTATAAAGAGTTCTCACCTGTGCCATTTCCAGTTATTGAACTATTTTACATCAACAAAGTATCACTTTTAAGACCAAGAAATATATATTACACAAGAGTCATGTTAAAAATTCATATATATTTACATACAAATATACATTAGAAAACATGTTGCATCCTTTTTAAATATAACTTGCTCTTTTCACTTAACAGTATAAACCTGGCCATGTTTCCATGACAATGCCATTATTTTTCAATGACTACCTGACATTTTGTCACATGGGTGGTCCATAATCTATGTAGCCAATTCTTCATTACTGAACATCTAGGTTATTCCCATTTTGTGACTGGGCTGGCCATTTTATACACACATTCCTGTGCACCAAAGGACAGGTTGAAATGGCAAGTACCAAATAAAACAGTGCAATTGGAGGAGTCCCCATGGGGCCTGGTAGGGTGCAGTGCCCAGACCTGGGAAGCATGAAGGGGCCACAGACAGTTCTGGTTGACAGGCCAAGCCCAGTCATCCTCTTCCCATTTTAGAGGAGAAAGAGCAGGCTCAGAGTGGTGACCTCACCTGGAAGACCACAGAGCTGACCAGGGCCAGAGCAGGGACTTGAGTCTCTCTGATTCTGTGAGAGCTGTGGTCTTCCTGGCCATGGGTGCCATGGCATCTGTTGTTCCCTGTCTGCTTGGCCTCGTGCATCCCTCACTCCCTCCCTTCCTGAGGCCTGCTGTGTGCCAGGCCCCAGCCAAGGACCAGTGAAAAGTGCCAAGGTGGGTCTGCCATGGAGGAGAGGGGAGGGAGCACAGTGGCGCGGTCCCTTGCCAGGAGGGCGGGGAGCCGGTGGAAAGCAGTTTTCATCACCGCCTCCCCGTCCCTGGCACGCCAGCCCGGATCGCTTTCTCAGTTCGCATTTCTAAGGCCGCTCCTGGGTTATTTTGGTCGGGAAACCTGAGCCTTCGCTGGGTTTATTTTAGCACCTTGGAGAACTCCCAGTGCCGCACCCGCTCCCAGGCGGCGCCCAGCCTGCTGTCGCCCCCTCTGTCTTTGCCCCCGAGAGGCCGGCGCGGGGGCGTCCCGCACTCCTGGCCCGGCCTGAGCCATCCCCCGCCCGGGTCGCCTGCACGTGGGCTTCTCACCCCTCGGAGGGACTCGAGAGAGGGCGCAGAGGGCGGCGCCAGGCCGAGCGCAGGGCGCACGATGACCTCGGGGCGCTGAGCCGCGGCGCCCAGCCCGGAGGCCCGCACTCAAAACCGCAGTGTGCGGACTCGCAGAAATGTCCAGGGGAAGCCGAGCCAGAGGAGCAGACAGATGGAGATGCACCCTTCAGCCGCCCTTCGGTGACCTCCATTCAGCCTCCGCCCCCCTTACCAGCCCCATGCTCACAGCGACACACCCCACGCAGACACACGTGCGCCCTCACATCCACACGCTCCTACTTCGCACCCACAACACAGCCGCACGCCCGTGCACACGCTCACTGTTCCACAGACACCCACACACGGACACACGCACACAGCCCACACTCAACCAGAACGCACTCAAGCAGCCTTATACACCCCACACGATACACACACACGGTTGTATACAGTGTGCACATGCTCGCTTGTCTGTGTCCACACCATGGCTTGCTCACAGCTCACACCCCTCATACCTGTACCCTTCCAGACACTTGCATGGACACACAGACACACATTACTCACGCCTCAGCACTCACACACTAACCCACGGCAACGCACTCCCTTACACACCCCAGCTCTCACCCTACACCCTAGTACCTGCACCTTCACCCTCCCGTGGACGCACACACATCAAAACATCTACTTCCCCATGCATAGCGATTGATGCTTACTCCTGGCCATTCTGAGTATCAGTTTCGTGTATTTATTATTTATGCTAATTCATAGCTTCCTTCATCTGTCCTGGAGTTATTCTTCTGTGCCCCTCTGCCCACCGGGATGTAAGTGCTGTTGCCTGTCTGGCCTGGGTTATGGTCTTCAGTGTCTTCTAAGTGCCTAGCCCAGCTGAGGTGTCGGAGGGATGAACGTGAGGAGGATGGGGAGGCCAGCTGAGAGGTCCCAAGCCTCATGTGCCCCAAAGAACAAGGTTCTGAACCTCCTCAGCAGGGATGGGCCACGCCTCCAGATTCAAGGCCAGCCTAGACAATGGGTTTTATGCACTTGTCCCTGCCTCCCTGCTGTCCCCCACCCATGTCACTCTCCTTCAGTGCAGAGTGATGTCGTCACTGAGCTGGGACTGGAGCCCTAGCTGGACGACCCCCTGGGTCTGTTCCCCATGTGCAGGGCAGCCTGGCCCCCTGTGATATCTGGTTCCTATTCACTAGGCCAGGCCCAGGCTGCTACCCACTTCCTGCAGAAATGTGATCCATCAGATCCACACCCAGATCCAACAGGCCTCTTTGATGCCATCCCCTTCCAGCCACCGGCCAGGCCTTCTGGCCCCACCCACCAGGTGGATGGACATTCCAAGCCCTGCCATTGGCTTTTCCTCTGCTTCCTAACAGTTGGGGAGAGAATCTTATCTCCCTGGGCGACAGAATTCTAGCAGGTAACATTTCTCTCTGCACAGCAAGGACTTTCCCCCCTGCGGAGTGCCTTTCTAGCCCGGTATTGACCTCACCTTTGGAAGTGGTGAGCTTTCAGAGGGCCACTGTGGCCCTGGATGCAGGTTTGTCCATGAGGAACAATGTCTAACTATGTCTGGTAGCCACCAAACAAGAAGGCCCTCCACTTTCAGGGACGGTGGGTCACCCAGCCTCTGGGTCTTACAGCCCGGCTGCCTGGTTCAACCTGCCCTCTCTCTTCACCGGGACTAAGTGTCAGGGCATGACAAGCCCTAACTCCTGGGGTCAGTTGAAGGCTGTGAAGACAATGTGTGACAAAGCCCCAGTTCCTAGTGCTGAGGACACTGCACTGGGCTCTCTCTCTCTCTCTCTAGCCCTACAAGGGCTCTGAGCCAGTTTGGGTCTGATGTCAAAACCCAGGTGGCCAGGACCAGTGTCGTTTCTACCTCTGACTTGCTATGTGACTTTAGGTTTTCATGACTTCTGTTGGCCAATGTACTAGGAATGGAGGGACACAGAAGGGAGACCTGGGGAGAGGGGGCAAGGAGAAAGACCTCCTTGCCTCCTTTTGAGCTCCCAATTTGCCACACCATCATCTCTGGGTAGGGGCTGTGCTATGCGCCCTGACCTTTTGTCTTCCCTGGGGATGTCTGGTAGAGAAATCTGGGGGACATAGGTGTAGGAAGGGGAGGAGACATGTGGCTTCAGGCATATTTCAAACTGATGTCCCCTTTCTGTGCTTGTAGACACCAGTACTTTACACATCATAGGCTGATGTTGCTGTGGATCTGGGCCCAACACCCACAGAGCTCCAAAGAACGCTAAACGCTGTGCAGGGAGGCAGGAAGATTGGGGTCAGGGGGAGCTGGAACCTTGGCAGATCCTTCAGGAACTGGGCAGGTGATGCCCCAGTGAGCCAAACCTGTTCAGACCCTCTATCAGGGCTGCTCCTGATGGAGCTACGCCTTAGCTCAGAGCCTGGCAAACCTTAGCGCTGCGCTCAACCCCTGTGACTAAAGCAAAGTCTTTCATGGGGGTGTTGTGAAGGGGATCAGATGAAGGGTGAGTGTCTCCTGCTCTGTAAGTCCACATCCCGTGAACACTCATGCACCTGTAACCAAGAGGATTCCTAGGGTTCAGTCCCTTCTAGCTAAGCAGGCCAGCCCCAGCAAGATAGGGCAGCAGACCTCGTGGAAGTGTTGAGTGTGGGCTTTGTGTTGGTCCGATCAAGGTTGGGTTATAGACTGAGAAGTTGGTATCTCCTGGTCCCTGGATTTCTCTGTAGTGTGCACTGCCCAGGGTCCAGGTGAAGGTAAACATAGTTTTTATCACTGCAAGCCCAGACCAAACCCAGGACAGAGGGGAGTAATTTCCTTCCCCAAAAAATCACCTCCAGGGGCTTCCCCACTTGAGGCATGTTTAGGACCATGGCCTCTGTGTCTTCTCAAAAGGGACATACAGTTCCACATCCGTGCACCCTTGAACTTGGTACCTTGTTTCCAGGACAGCATCCCTGCCCTCAAGGAACACCCTGGTCACTGGATGATAAGGTGATGCACTTCTGTTCCATACATTTGGGGTGATTGGGGATAAGAGATGAGATGGGCACCCCAAAAGTTAACGTATTTCTTATGAACTGGGTGGCATGATAATCAGATGGTGTTGAAGGCTGTGGAGAGTCTCAGAGGGGCAGAATGTTGGATGGGGGCTGAGTTCATGGCAGAGAGAGATCACTTTGGATCTCTCCAAAGACCAGGGAAGACTTCCTGAAAGTCAAAATTTACACTGGGCCCTTAGTGAACCGTGTACTGTTTGTGGTTCTACTGGGTGGTAGCAAACAGTCCACAAGGGCCATGTCCATGGCATTGGTTTGGCCACCCTGCCAATCGTGGTCGGAGGTAGCAAAACCAGGAGTAAGCCACCCACTAGAACGGGAAAAGGACAACCCGTTATTAGACTGGGATATAGGTGGATGGCAACAGTTGAGGCAAGGGTGTGGCTGGGGAAAGGCAGTGGTCACCTTAACTGGCTGCTTCCTGCTTTGGTAGGGCTGCTGCTGCAGTCAGGTGGGTCCCTTGGCTTGGCTGGCCATCCCTCAAAGACAGATCCCAAAGTGAGTGGAACCCTCCCTTCTTCCCAACATGCTTTGAGAATGACCAGACCACCTGCCCTGTGTCCAGTTGTGGGTCCCTTCAGGGTGTGATGGTGGGAGGAGCATGACTTTTATGTGGCTGCCAGGTTTTCTGATGTCACAATCACTTGGCCTTTCCTGTTGAGGGCAGTGGCAAGGTAGGGGTGGGACCACCACATGCCGCTACTTAAAAAGGCTCACTGATTGCTCTCCCATTGCTGTGTGGGCACAACCCCCCTTTGAACCTCTGCACTGAGACCACCAGGCCCAATTCCAGCGGGGACACTTGCCAGGTGGGGCCTTGGGCAGGTCTCCCAGTCTTCCACTTTGAATTCCCTTCTGTGAAATGTGCGTAACACATCCCCACTCAGGGTGGCTGATGGATGAAATGAGGCTTGTATGGTGCTTCACACACAGTTGGGACCTAAGAGGTTGGTCCCCAGTATTTGGGGGGTGGGTGGTTAGCACAGCGACCAGATTCTCCCAGCTCCCCAATCTTCTCAACGCTGGGGCTTCCCAGAGCTCTTGCAGCCTCCATCCAACCACGGTCCCTGAGGCTGGGATCCCCAGGGCAGAGCGAGTGCTCGGAGCCCGGGAAAACTCTGGCCTGTAGAGGTCAAAGGGCACTGGGAGCAGCCCCCCTGGACCCGAAACAGACGCAGAACTACACTACCCAGAATTCCTAGGGCTAGCCAAAAAGGAAATGTCGTTTTGCAAGGAGAGGTTCAGCTCCCTCAGCCGCTGCAGAGAGGGAGAGAGGGGGGAAGACAGGGAGAGAGGGATTACCAGGGGGAGGGCGCACTGTGTGCCCGAGCGAGGGTGGAGAGCCGGGCGGGCGGGGAGGAGGAGGCGGCGCCCGCTCGCCCGCCGCGGCCGCCTGCGGACCTGCATCCCGCGGGGCGGGCGAGCGGGCGGCGGTCCCTGCGTGCGCCCTCTGCGCTCCGGCCGGCGGCTGCGGGCGGACGCGGGGCCCAGGCCGGCGCAGGGGCCGAGTTTCGGCAAAGTTTGACCTGGTTGCCTTTCCGATGCTGCAGCAGAGCGAGGCAGCGCGGGGCGCGCCAGGCGGCTGCGGCGGGGCGGCGGGGCTGAGCGGCGACAGCACGCTCGCAATGATCATAAAATAAAGAGGGCGTGCGGGGTGGGGGCGAGAGAGCCCCGAGCCTCAGCCCTCCGCCCCCAGCCACCCCCAGCCGCCCCGAGCCAGGAGGGGGTGGGGGCCCGGGGAGCCCACGCCGGCCCCAGACCCCAGTAGACTGAGCCAAGGGGTACTGCCCCGGGGAGTGGGGATCCCCGAGAACGTGCCGGCGGCGGGGTCAGGGGCTCCGGAGGGCGGCGGCCCGGACACGCGGAGCGACCCCGGGGGCAGGTGAGTCGGCGTGGGTGGGGGCGCGCGCGCCAAAGTTCCCCGGCAGCTGCGAGCACGCCCGACGCGCGGGGCTCGGGGCAGCTCGCGCCTGGCGAGGGGGCAACGAGGTGCCCGAAGCGACCGGGCAGGGACACCGCGCCTTTTGGGGTCCGGCAATCCCGGACCGCGAAGTGGCGCGCGCTCGGTTAGACTGGCAAGAGGTGGGTGGCACTGCGCCCCCAAGGGACCGGAGGGACCTGAGCGGAGAAGAGAAGGGGCGCCCGGCGCTGGCGGTGCGGCGCCGGCGGCAGTGCCAGGACCGGCAAGTCCTGGCGACCCACTGCAGTGGCAGCCGGTCGCCCCCCACCCCGCCCCCGGGCTGGGAGGGTGTCAGCGGAGATGTCACGGGCGGCGATTATTCGCTGGTGAGTGCGGTCGTGTGGCTGCCACTGACGGGGCGGGTGGGGGGGCCGCCGCCTCCGGGGAGACCGCCCAGAGCTGCGCCGTCAGCTCCGCAGCCCGCGCCCCGCGCACACGCGTCGGCGCCCCCGCGCGCCCCCGGCAGCAAAGTTCGGCTCAACTTTGACGCCCTGTTCCTCCACCTCCCGGCAGGTCCTCGGCGGCCGCGGCGAACCAGGCAGCGGCGGCGGCGGCCCGGCAGCAGCCCCGGGACCCTAAACGGCGATCGGCGGCGACAGCTGCGAGGGGTTCGCGGTGCGCCCACGAGTGGGCGCCGACGGGGGCCCGGAGAACGCTGAGCCCAGAGCGCGCCTGTCCTCGAGGGCGCCGGGAGCTCGGCCCATTGAACGGAAACCGCTCTTCCATTGATTGGGCCCCGCCAGGCGGGCGCGGGTGCCCGGGGAAGCGCGTGCGGAAGGCAGAAGGGCAGGAAGTCGGTGTTCTGCAGCAAGGGTGGCGCGACCGCGCGGGGACCGAGCCATCCTTATTTATGTGTCTTGCCAGCGCTCGCCTGCTTCCTCCGAAGACTTAAGAGAGAGTCTCTGAGCTGCCATCCCCGCGTGTGAGGCCAGGAAGGGCTGGATGTCAGAACAACATGCTTATCCATTAAACTCCAAACTTTTCTTTTTTTAACCCAAAGAATATCGGTGATTTTTGTCCACTGCTAGGAGAAGACGAGAGCCCAGGGCTCTTGCGATGCAGCAAAATCCTTATTTATAAACAGGCCCCCTTCACTCAGTGAGTGCTGTATCCTATGGATATCAGTCTTGAGGTTTGAGGTTGGATCGCACCCGTCTACACTGGGTTCTGCCGCCTCCATCTTTTCAATGCCCTGTCTCCACTGGGACTGCTGGCCTTCCCTGGGGATTAGAGCGGTCCTGTGTGCCATGGGCTGTATTCAGAGCATCGGAGGCAAAGCCAGAGTCTTCCGGGAAGGGATCACCGTGATCGATGTCAAAGCCTCTATCGATCCCATCCCCACCAGTATCGACGAGTCCTCCAGTGTGGTGCTCCGCTATCGGACGCCCCACTTCCGGGCCTCAGCCCAGGTGGTCATGCCGCCCATCCCCAAGAAGGAGACCTGGATCGTTGGCTGGATTCAGGCGTGCAGCCACATGGAATTCTACAACCAGTACGGGGAGCAGGGCATGTGAGTGCTGCCCGGTCCTGGGCTTGGGGACTGTTGTGGGGGGAGCGGCCAGGGAGAGGGGTGGTTAGAGATATCCAGAGAGAGGGGCTACAGGGCCAGAGGGAAGCTTTAAGCAGGTGTGGAAGTGGCTTCTGAGCCCTCTTGGGCCTTGTGACTCCCGGAAGGTTTACTTGTTGATCCAGATCAGGGTCAGGACTCCAGACCTATCCTGCCATTGTCCTTGGCCCCTCAGTTCCTGTGTCCTCTGCAAGACGCAGAGAAAACAGGAACCTGTGTCTCTTTGGCAAAGTAAATGTGCTCTCTGTCTGAAGAGTGTCAGGGCCATCCTGGGTCATCAGAAGGACCAGCACTCTGCTTCCAGGCTCAGGTGGGTCAGAACACAAGTCATACACTTGTGGCCTCTGGGGCCTGCAGACTGCTTTGTACCGGATTTTGTGGTTGGGCCTGAACTCATCTCTCTGAGGGGCTTGCGGGGAGTGCCGTGTGTTTGAGGGGGCCATTAGTTTTAAAAACCTATTTTGCTTTGCGGTGGGCAGCTTTCTGTCTCGTAGGCAGAAGGCTACTTCATGCAGACAAAGGTCAGTGTCTGTTGTCCCTGTAGTGGGGCTCTAACTAGGAACAGCTAAGAAGCAGCCACTGTCCTCTTCTCTGGTCTTTGAAATGTTGTTGGGATTACATAGGATTCAGTGAGGACCCTGGGACCCTAGGTCTGGCAGGACCTCTGACCCCATAGAAGTCCATCTCTCTGTAGAAAGAGCAGCAGATGGCGCTGGGGAAAATGACTTGGATAGTTACCCTGGGACGGGGTTGTGAAAAGAGCTGTTTCTGAGCATGAGGGTCCTTCTGAGAGAGGTAATGGGCCTCCAGATCCCCAATTTGACCCCCACGATGGAGGTCGCTGTCTCTAGGCCTCTCTCAGTGTCTACCTGTTGCAGCAAGTGAGGGAAAGGGGAGTCTCTGTCCCCTGAGAGTTACCACTGAGGAATGTCCTGGGCCACCTGGTTTAGGAGGGCTGGAGGGTGGCTGGACACAAATCAAGTGCATCCTGCACTTAGTGACTCTTAAGTCCCAAGGGAAACGGGAGGATGGGGTAAAATTTAAAACTGGGCTGTGATCACTCTAAGACCATGGGGCACATGAAGACACTCTGCCCTTCCCCCCAACAGCTGGGTTTCTGTCCCCAGCCCTTCCGTTTTCAAGAGGGCCTATAACGGAGTTCAGGCAGGGGGCTGACTTTCCGTTCCAAGAAGGGAAACGTGGCTTAGTTCTTGTGGGAGGACCTTTCCTAAGAAGCCTTCAGCCCCCGGCTTTGTAAGACACCCGACAGTTGTCGAGAAAGTTTTCCTTGGGTTTCAGGCTAACTAGTGTCTTCCCTGATGTCTTCTCTCCTGGCCTGAGAGTTAGGGACCTTGGGCAACCTCGCCTCTCTGTGCCAGTGCTCGGTTCTTGGTTAGACCAACCTTGTGCACCTTAGACTCTGCGGTGAAGTTGACCTGGGCAGGAAGCCCAGGCTCTGCCACTTTCCAGGGTGTGACCCTAGGCATTCCTTAGCCACTCAGCCACAGTTTACTCATCTGTCAGTGGGGGCTAATCACAGTCCCTTCCCCATGGTTTATTACAAGAATTACTCAGATGGCCTTTGTCACACAGTCAGCTCTAGGGCCAAGCTCATGGAGAATTCTTAGTGCAGGTTGCTGACATCCTTGATTTGTTACTGTGATTTTCTTGGACACAGAGAGAAAGATGGCATTTGTAACACTAATGATCTTGGCTGAGGCTACAGAATTAGGACCCATGTCAACTACTCCTTGTAATGAATGCAGTCCCCAGCCCAGGTCTTCCTCTTTCACACAGGGCCCACAACCCTAAGTTCTAAAAATTTAAAAATAGCATAAGCCAGGGCCCGTTTAAGTGGTGAAAGAGCCCTGGTGGTTTCTTTGCACCCTCCCTCTCTGGGACACCTCTTTCAGAACATTTCCTGGTTGCTTGGTCTGAAATCCCTAGTGAGGTAAGACCAGCCCCAGGGAACGGCAGAATCCAAGGCTCCCAGGCAGGGGCAGCACAAAGCACTCAGGCAGAGGGGCCCACCTGGAGTGACTGAGGACCTTGGCCAGGCAGCCACAGAAGTTCCTTTTTGTCCTCGGCACACCTGGATGAGGAGCTTGCTCCCTGTGGGCTGCTGTGAGGATTCAGAAAGACAGGGGCAGGACATCCTCGGGGGGGAAACCCAGAGTAGGAAGCTACTGGACTGTTTCTCACTAATCAGCAGAAGGGTGTCAGGCACCAAATTACTGAGTAGCTGTGTGCTCACCATGCACTGTGAAGCTGAAGGGCTGGTTTGGACACAGCTTTGCGGTGGCTCCCTCCCCAGTGTAAGCAGAAGCATTTAGATGGGATTTAAAGAACCTTCCTGGCTTTCCTACCCCAGACTTCCTGTGATAAGTACACCTCCATGTGTAGCTTGAGAGACACAGGGGCGGCGAGTGGGTGAGACTGACCAGAAACCTTGGCCAGCCCAGATTGTCCCTCTGCCTGCCCGGACCCCAGACACCTCTTCGTGCTGGGGGCTGGCCTGGGTAGGGAGGGGGGCATCAAGAGGCATCCTTGGCTCTACACACTTGATGCCATACCCCTCCCACAAAGTCCCCAAACACAGCCCAGTGTCCCTTGGGAGGGATGTAAAATCCTCCTGGTTGAGAACCACTGGGCTCAAGCCCAATTTGAATCATTAAAGTGAAACCCGGGCACTGGGTGTCGGCAGCCTGGGGAGGGGACAGCCAGGTGGCCATGGCTAGGTTGTGTTCTTTGCAAATGGGCTTGTATTAAAAATATTAATTCCAAATACTTAACTGAAATCCTTAATACCCCCACCCAAATGCCATCCCTGCTGGAAATTAATCTCTAAGCCAGGAGGAGAACTTGTTAGAATGACATTCGGGGTTTGAAATATTTGAAATGTAACACTTAAAACCCAGAAACCACCAGCTCAGGAACAGCTCGACCCTTCCACAGGAGAGCTGGAAAGTGGCTTTTCTGCCAGCTCGAGAGCGTTCTATATGGTTTTGAGTCCAGCCCACATTGCTTTCAAAGCCAACCCCCCTCCAAACTGTTGGAGACACCTGCCTCCTCAGCTGTCCCCCGCAATTCCTCAACTGCCACCTGTCAGCTGGCATAGAGCCTTCTAAGTGACAAGTCACAGTTTCTCGCCTGTGTGGGAGACACTCAGGGTTGTCCCTAGATCGCCCTTCTCTGGAGCCCCCAGGGAACCTGGCTCATGGTCATGACCAAGGCCAGGAGTGGTGTGGCACAGGAGTCCACCAGCGGGCAGGCTTGGGGGTGGGATAGAGAGGGGGTCTCTGGTGGACAGTGTGGACTTTCTGTGCCCAGGCCCAGCAGGGGGTGTGGATCCCTTTCCGGAGCCTCCCACTTTCCCACCTGTGACATGGGAACACTAGCAGCTCCCCTGTGGGGTGGTTGTGAGGACTCTGCGATGCCTCACTCAGCACAATGATGCTGTGATTATGAATCGAGATCACTAGCAATTGATTATCATTCTGCAATGCCTGGCAAAGACCCAGCATCAAGATCGCTGTGTTGCTGTGGTCATCTTACCCCTTTTCCAGGGTTTCCAGTCCCCTTCTGTAACAAGGCAGCTTTGGGCCATGAGGCCTCACGGGTCTTTCTGGCCCATGCTTGTGCCGACACCGCTGTCCCAGGGCTAGGAGAGGCCAGCGGGAAAGTGTGGGTGGGAAGGAGGGGCGCCTGGTGTGGCTACCTAGGGCTTCCCTGCCACCCTGTTATATCCAAGGGTGTGCCCTGGGACCTCAGGGGCACCTTGTTTTAGGATGAGGACCAGCCTTTGAGCTCTGAAGCTGCCTGTGCCTGCTTGGCAATGGGAGATCTGGGGACGGCTGTGGAGGAATGTCCCTACTGACCATGTGGCCTCTTCCTGAAGCCAGGGCCTGAACCTTGGGCTCTGCACAGAACAATTGAGGAAGAAGCTTCCTCTCTGGGACCGGAAGGCGGCCTCCCCCGTCTGCTGGGCCCTGGCAGAGGCAAGGGTGGGATGGGTGGGAGAGGGAAGTCCTTATTTCTGGGCTTTGGGGTGGGAGGAAGGGAGGGGCAGGGATGGCCCAGCCCAGGAGAACTCCCCCTGGACCTGCTCCGGCCAAGAGATCCCTCCAGCCCTCATCCACCTTCCCAGAGCACGTGGGGGGAGGGGAAGCTGGCTGCCCAGGAAGATGAGCAAGAAGTCCCCCGACAGCTGGCCAGCCGAGTCATCAGGAAAATGCTGAGAGCATTTTTTGCTGATCAGATCCAAGGAGAAATAAAGACGACCGGGGGGCCCATGGTTTGTGGGAACCCAGCATGGCAGTTCGGCTAGGCTATTCCGATCTGCACTCCCTCTGGCTTGGGTGTTCTGCATTTAAAGTCTGGCTTGCAGAGTTTGGTGGCCCAGCCCAGGGCCTGGCTTATCGAGGCCCCCAGAACTAACCTCACGGGCTCATGGGCTGACATGGGGCGATGTTGACTCAGCACCGGTCATAGTAACAGGAAGCCCTGTGCCCCTCACAGGGCCCTCAGGTTGGGGAGCTGTGGTCTGTCTGCTGTGCATATGAGGTGGTCCTGACAAATGGCCAGGTGGACCTATCGATGTTTCCATATGGGAAAAAGATGATGTATTGTTCCATTAAAAAAGTGGTGACACGGGCTAGGGTGTGGCTTTGATAAGACTTTTGCCCTGCATGCTGGAGGCCCTGGGTTCCATCCCCAGAACTACAAACTTATCATCGTCATAAAGACAAAATGATAGATTTGGAACATGTCCTGTGTGTGAGTGCAGAGAAAGGTCTAGAAGGGTGCTCACGAAAGTGCAGTGTGTGAGTGGCCTCGCTCGGGAGGAGGGGCAGGGAGGAAACCACTTTTGGTTTTCACCTTATTTGCTTCTTTATGGCTTCTTTTTCAAAACAAAAACTACATATTTTATAACTAAAAATTGA